AAAATAGGGAAAGAAAGAGTAAAGCAAACAGACGTATTGAAGAATTATTTTCTGACTTGAGAAAAATGTCTTTACCACATACCTGATTTTTTATTGAGATAGTAAAAGGTTTTAGTCAGTTTCAATAGTGACTGTTTTCTCCAATAAGCAAGTACTTTTGTTGATTTATTATTATTATTGAGTCAGAGTCTGACTCTGTCACCCACACTGGAGTGCAGTGGCACAATCACAGTCACTGTAGCCTTGACCTGCTTGGCTCAGGTGATCCTTCCGTCTTAGCCTCCCAAGTAACTGGAACCACTGATGCACGCCACCATGCCTGGCTAGTTTTTATAAGTTTATTTACTATAAAGATGAGGTCTCGCCAAGTTGCCCAGGTTGGTCTCGAACCCTGGGCTCAGACAGTCCTCTCGCTTTTGCCTCCCAAAGCGCTGGGATTACGGGCATGAGCTCCTGTACCTGGCCAGTGTTTTTATTTTCTACAGACAATCTAGGTATTACAGATGGTGCTTAATCCATTCGGAATTGTAAAGATACAGGCCACAATATCTAGAATGTGGGAAGTTCTGCAGGTCAAATGAGTATAAATTGCTCTCGTTACTTGGCTTGAAAGGAAGTGCTCAGCTGCTCCAAGGAGAATCAACTGCGAAGGCTGAAGCAGAAGCTCAGCGACCTGTTGGGAGCGACTGCACCATCCAGCAAGGGATGGTGGGGAGGTGGACGAGGACGTTGGTGGACGAGAAGAGGCCAGATTTGAACACATGCTGAGGTTCAGAGTCAACATGATTTGCTGACGGATTATATTAGAGTGTGAGAGAAAACAACAGAGCCAATGATGACTCAAGGATTTTCCCTGAATCCCTGGAGCTGCCACTAACTGAAACAAGAGACTATAGGGGACGGAGGTTTCCCAAGGACAATCAGGAGTTCTGCTTGGGGCAGGGGACATTGGAGATGTTTATGAGACACCCAGAGGGTAGACAGCTGGAAATACCATCCCAGAGCTTGTGGATGAATTCTGGGTCGGAGGTGTACACGTGGTAGTCTTCAGGGTATACTCATGTGTTAAACAGTTTGAATAAATTAGATCATCAAGTGAGGGACTGTAGATGGAGTAAGGAAGAGATCTGTTGTTTCAAAAACATTAGGGAGCTGGGCACAGTGGCTCATGCCTGTAGTCCCAGCACTTTGGGAGGCTGGCACGGGAGGACTGCTTGAGCCCAGGAGTTTGAAACCAGCCTAGGCAATACAGCGAGGCCTTGTCTCTACAAAATAATAATAATAATAAAAAAGCTGGGCATGGTGATGCATGCCTGTATTATCAACTACTCAGGAGGCTGAGGCAGGAGGTTTACCTGAGCCCAGCAGATCGAGACTGCAGTGAGCTGTGAGCGTGTGCCACTGCACTCCAGCCTGGGCTCCAACTCAAAAAAACAAGAAATTAAATTTAATTTTAAAAAACACATATTGTGGAACAAACACCTCCAAAATGTAGTGACTTAAAACAATAACCATTTCCTCTCCTGGGTTTGGAGTGGGTGAGGGTTGCCTGATCTAGGCGGGGCTTGACTGTGGTCACTTGCTTCTGCCCCATGTGTCTATCATCCTTCTCCTAGAGGCAGGGGACTAGCTGAGGCATGTTTTCTCTATGGTAACATCAGAAAGCACAAGAAAAAAAAGCAAACACATATCAGGCCTTTTGCGGTCTTGGCTCAGAACTGGCACAGCGTCACTGCTTCCCTGTTCTATTGGCCAAGTAAGTCATAGAGCTGAAACCAAAGTCAGGGTTCAGCACAATTATAAAGCCAAGGCATTGACAAAGGAAAGGGTAAGAGATTTGAGTTCCATGATGCAAACTTTCACGTGTACAAGGACTAAGTCCTGGGGCATTTTAGCCTTAAAAGTTGAAGCATAAATCCCACATCTAATCAGGGACCAAACACAAAGAGTATTCTGGATATAATCTTAACCTTTGCCCTCACTTGCCTTAATGAACTTGATTGAAAACACCAATTCTTTGATTCCTGGCAAAGGAATGAAAACATTGACTCCATATTAGTAGCTACAAAGAAAGTCTGTCGCATGATGGTCCCAAGATGCCAACATGTGCCATCTATCAGTCCAAAGAGAAAATGAAATAAGACAAAACACACCTTGAAGAAGAAAATAAGGAGACAGCCACATCTGAAATTGGAAAAACAAAGCTTCATCCCCAAGAGTAGTGTCCGATGAGGCAACTCACATGAACGCATTAAACCATATTGAACAGACATCAGAAGCTCAGCATCAAGCAGCCTGTTATAATTTTAAATAGACCCTAACCAACCCTTGTTTTTCAAGCTGCTGAGATGAACAATATGCATTTTACTGTTTTTTTTTAAATTTGGGAACAGAATTTTGTTTTTTACTGTGACAACTATTTTACAACGGATACAATTTCCAGGTTTTTGAATTTCTTTACAAGTGAGGAAGCAAAGGAAAAAAATTCGTGTTAGGGATATAATCTGCTGTTATCAGCTTAGGCTACAAGCCTGGACTTGGAAAAATAGTGAATCAGAAAATGTGGTACAAGTGCTTGCACACTATCTTATATTTTAAGCTGCTTTTGCTAGATCCAGAGGTTTTTAGAGCTCAAGGGGCCTCAGAGATGATAATCACCTAATTTTATACATGAAGTAACAGCGGCCCAGAGAGGTTAACCTGATTCTTTGACCATAAAAGAACTGGATCATGTGGGTTGGAACCCAGCAGCAACACAAGAAGCAGCTGTGGGAGGCTCTTCCCTGACTCCGCCCATGCCATCTCCCCTGAACCTCTCTTCCTCCAGTAAACCATCTAGTAAAAGATGTGATTTGCTGAGCAGCCCGGGCTCCAGACAAGTTCCCCCAGGCGCCTCCTACCCTCAACCAGCCCAGTGTGGAAACCCTGGCATGACCACTCCATTTCTGGGAATAACCTGCCTTCCCTGTTATAGAGTGAATGCTTGTGCTTCCCCTAAATTGTCTGTTGAAACCCCACCCCCTAATGTGATGGTATGGGGGGGCGCTTTGGGAGATAATTAGGCCTAGATTAGGCCATGAGGATGGAGCCCCCAGTAACAGGATTCATGTCTTTATAAGAATCCTGAGCGAGCTTCCTTCCTCTCTCTCCACCATTTGAGAGTATCATGTCAGCAATCTGCAGTCCTGTAGAGGGCTGTCACCAGAATCCAACCATGCTGGCATTCTGATCTCAGACTTCCAGCCTCCACAACTGTAAGAAATAAACTTGTTGTTTATAAGCCACCCAGCCTATGGTATTTTGTTATAGCAGCTTGGACAGACTAAGACATTCACCATCCCTGGTGTCTAGAGGTTTATGGGCCTAGAAGAATAGGAGGATGTGCTGGTATCCTGTTGTCTCTTTTGTTCCCTTTATCTTCATATGTCTCTCTGTCTAACACTTAGGGCCAGATTTTGGAGACAGTGCTTATGTTTATCTCTGCTAAACAATCCATCTCTTCTTCCCTATAGGCATTAACTAGTTGGCCTATTTAAGCTTAATTTCTTCTTGGGAGTTGAAATTATTATTATTATTATTATTAGCCAGCATCTTTTACAGCACTAGCAACCTAGGGCCTTCTCAAGACCTTTCTTGAGAATGTAGTGCTTTTCCCTCTTTTATCTTAAGATTGTCCTGTGAAGTTCAGGAAATGATTCCTTTGCTCTCACACAATATCTAAAATGTAACGCGTTCTGATGCAGCCTCTTACCGATGCTGTCAAAGACAAACACAGTCAGACACTGGTTAAAGTGGTAAGGACAGATTTTAGTCAGTAATATACTACTGGAGTGGGGAAGAGGGTCCAAGCATGAACTGAACTCAAACTCAATCTGTACAGAGGTTACTGGGCATTTTAAAGGGAGAATGAAGGAGTAGGGAGGGGATGAGCTGGGTCTCAGTAGAGCAAGGGAAGTGAAAAGTTACAGAGGGTTGTCCAGTGTAAATGCAATTAGGCCAGCTGTGTCTACTAGCTAGCCTCCCACAGAGACTTAGAGACAGAGGTCCTGCCCCTTCTGGTGATCACGTTTTAAAGGAACGGTTTTCAGATCCTTGAGAAAGACACTCCTGAGTTTCAGGAGACACATGAACACTTCAAAGGGACATGAGAGGGGTTCACAATTGTGAGCTCTATTTTGAAAGGGCTCTAAGAAAAGAAGGGCGGGACCTATCTTCAGCTGTTGGCTAGAACAAACAGTAAATTCTTCTGACAGCCTTGAGTCTGTCTCTTCAGCCAAGCACTCTAAGGGGAGGAGCACTTTAAGGTAGGGACACCCTGGGGATGCAGCCTTGAGCTGTTAGAAGCTATGCTTAAGTCTTTTGATGTGGTGGTAGACGGATGGGCCATATCATTTGTGTTGAGAGACCACAGTTCGATAGGCTACGCTTGAGGTATGGTCAAGAAGAGCTAGAGGGCTCGGATTATCCTGGAGTTTGGTCAACAGGGGAATGTTTCACCGGGTAATTTAAACATGCTATCTTATTGTAACTAAAACATTTTGTCAGAGCCCCTGCTCCCTCGCCTGTAAAATGGGAATATTAAAGTCTCAAGCAGCTCTCGGAGCACCTAGCGCAGTGCTGTCCAGTAGAAATGGAAGGCAAGCCGTGCACGTCGTTTTCAAGGTCTTCACGGCCACATTTAACACAAAAGTGAAAATAAACAGGAAGCATTTACGTTAGCGATGTACTTCATTTACCCTGACGTACTCCGGATATTACCACTTCAACATGTTGCAAACGTCAAAAACGACACCCTTGTCATCGCTCTAAGTCCGCGAGGGCCGGCGTGCCGCCCCACCCGCAGCGCCTCGCGGCCCTGAGCCACGTGCGGCCACAGCATCCCGGGCCCGGGTCTGGACGAGCGGGCGGCGCGCCTTGATGACGTAGCCGGGCGTCGCGGAGCGTGCGTCCTGGACGCCCTCGGCTTCCGTAGGC